TGGCACTTTTCTATCTTATAAAGGTCAGCTAGCAAAATCAGGGGGAAACGGTGAAAACATATTTATTAATTATTCCTGAGGTTATGACCACGGAGAACAAGCACTGGAGATCATAATTAGTAAGCTTCCTACAAAGGTATTAGAAAAAGGAATACAAGACCTATTTGCGGAGATTGTGAATATGCAAGGGAAAAAAAACTCTTGTCCCAATGTTTAACAAATGGTTCCTGAGATGCAGTAAAATCTCCACTGACAGCATCCTACTCAATTCAAAACCTGTTCTATCTTAAATAACTAGAAGGGAACTGTTAGATGACTCAAAAAGTTGTTCCAGTGATGAGAGAGACCCTGCTGTAGCAGATCCCTGTGAAGAATCTGACTAAAATTATTTGAGTGAAGAAAAAGTAACTTTTCTAAATTAATACCATTTTGTATACTTTTTGATATTAAATGCAAGTATTTAAATATCTAAATGAATAGATGGTTTAAATAAACTTTTAAATTGTTTCATTTACATCCATAAAAGTTCTACATTCAAACTGCAGATTAACTAATGTAGACTTTGAAATAAATCAAGTTGGAAAAGGACACCAATGCTTGAGGCATATGTGTGTGTGTACATATGTGTCCGTGTGTGTGTACATTTATGGAGGAGTGACAAAAGCTCTTCTAGGTGATTCCAGTCCTAGTGCTTCACCATTTCTCTTCCTATCCCTTTTTTTTTTCTTGACTTAACTTTTTTTTTTTAATTTTGGAACTATTATAAATGCACAGGAAACAACAAAAGAATATACAGGGAGGTCCCAAACATCCTTTGTGAAGCCTCCCCCATGTTAAGATCTTACATATATATAATACAATGTCAAAATCAAGAAATCGGCATTGGTACAATGCATAGAACTTACTCAGATTCACCAGTTATACAAGTACTGATTTGTGTTTGTATGTTTGTAGTTCTATACAATTATATCACATGTGTAGCTCCACATAACTATAACCACAATAAAGATTCATTGCCAACAACTACAGGCCAAACAATGTCTCCCAAATTGTAAGAATTGCCTAGGTGCTTGTTTTAAAATACAGATTCCCAGACAGACCTCTGCCCAGAGATTCCCATTCCAGAACACTGGGGTAGAGGTGGGAATTTGCATCTTTAAGCACCCTAGATGATGCTTAAGATCGAGTAACTTTGAGAAACACTGGTCTGGAGCATTAAATGAAACAGTGTAGCGTGAATTGGGGGCAGTATTTCTTGCACATTATAAACCTGATTTCCTTCCTCTTCCACCAATATGGAAAGACATCCAGGCCTGGTCTCTCCCTGTCAGAGCCTTTACTGTTTGCTTCCCATGGAGGGGCAGTGAAAGCCTGTTACCAAGACCGCCTTATAGGGGTCTAGGAGAGTCTGGAGTTAGTTCCTGGTTACTATCTAGCTGGTGAAGGTGGAACACTGCAGGGGTGAGCTATCCACCGACCAGAGGCAGAGAATTGGCAGCAGGCAAAGGGATTTAGGCAATCATGGAAACCGGAAGCAAACAGAAACAGCTTATAGGAATGGAATTCTCCGCAGTGGAGAGGGTTAGCATGGGAGAGCCTAGGTCTTAACTGCTCTACTGTACTTGGCCATTCAGGGAAAGGGCCTTAGTATTCTGACTCTCAGTTCTGGGGGACTAGAAAGATCCCCCTTGCCCCAGCAGCTTATTAGTACAGATTAAGAAAGCAAGGAGGCGGCTTCCCTTGTGGCGCAGTGGTTGAGGGTCCGCCTGCCGATGCTAGGGGACGCAGGTTCGTGCCCCGGTCCGGGAGGATCCCGCGTGCCGCAGAGCGGCTGGGCCCGTGAGCCATGGCTGCTGGGCCTGCGGGTCGGGAGCCTGTGCTCCGCAGCGGGAGGGGCCACAGCGGTGGGAGGCCCGTGTACTGCGGAAAAAAAAGAAAGCAGGGAGGTCAAGGCCTTAGGCAGCTGGACACTAGTTAATGTCCCCCTTCCCCCCACCCCCATCCTGAGTGGAGGGAGCTAGATCAGCCCCCTTTCATGGGAAAGGGCCTTGTCCACCTGGTTCTTGGGAGTGTCAAAAGAGCACAAAAGGGCAAAACTCATGGATTCTTGATGCTGGATAAGACCAATGTCATCTGAATCAAAAAAGGACCGCTTAGAAGTTAAATATGAACTCATGAATCACTAAACTCCAAGTTAATTATTTATTATAGTCAAGGATAGAGTCTATAGTAAAAGACCACCCTCTAGAGGCTGCAGACCCCGGACGACAACCCAACATACAAAACATCCAAGGGATGGCAGTGAAAAGTGAAACTGCTCTGGTCAACACAGCAGAAAGCTCTGATCAAATGAAAGAAAAATTCAAGAACTTTCTCAGAATTGCCCTGTTTGGTAAGATCTTAAAATTAACACAGAGAGAAGAAAAATCTTTTAGGTTAGAAAGAAAATCCTCAGAGATCTCTGATCTGGCCAGTGGGTTCCCTCTAGCAGTGCTTACAAATTGCAGGTGCAATTTGGGGTGCACCCATTAGTGGATTGTGAGATCCACTAATGGGGTGCACCCATTAGTGGATTGTGAGATCTTTTTTATAAAGGAAATGAAAGAGAAAAGTACTAGAATGCATTGCATGTAGAAAGAAGAGTACTTCATGAGATTTTTTTAAAGTAATATTTGTAAGCATGAGGGTATAATAGTTTGCATTGTGAATTGTGTTTATTGTGGCTCACAACAAAAAGTTAAAAATGGACTTCATAAAGGCTTGACTCCTGCAGTTCTGTCCCAGGGCAGTTTTAAGCATCCATTCAAACATTGCTTTGGGTATGAGTTCACATGGTCATTCTGTTTTGTTTTGTTTTTTTAAAATTTTTATTGGAGTATAGTTGCTTTATAATGTTGTATTAGTTTCTGCTGTACAGCAAAGTGAATCAGCAATACGTATACATTACCCCCTCTTTTTAGGATTTCCTTCCCATTTAGGTCACCACAGAGTATTGAGTAGAGTTCCCTGTGCTATACAGTAGGTTCTCATTAGTTATCTATTTTATACATAGTATCAGTAGTGTATATATGTCAATCCCCATATGTACACTAATGTGTATTAAATAGATAACTAATAAGAACCTGCTGTATAGCACAGGGAACTCTACTTTGCTGTACAGTAGAAACTAACACAACATTGTAAAACAACTATACTCAAATTTAAAACAAGACAAAACACTGACCATAAAAAGTGAATATTCTTGTCTATTTCTTTTTCCATAAGTGTTATCTAAAAATAAATTGAAATTTTTCAGGGAAAAAAAAAAGTAGTGTATGTATGTCAATCCCATCTCCCAAATGCATCCCACAGGCCCCCATTCTGCTTTTTAAGATTGTTTGCCTTTTCAATATTGAATACCGAGGACCAGACTCATCTCAGTTTTAAGTGTAAATCATTTATTGAAGCTAAAAAATGTAACATTCTATAAAGAAAGACTATTGACTGGTATTTACTGGATTAAAGATCTTGTCTCAGATTTTCTTTTTTATTCACTTATTTTTAATCATTTTACTTATTTTATATATAATATAAATTTAATTTAATTTTTTTTTTTTGGACACCCCACATGGCTTGTGGGATCTTAGTTCCCAGACCAGGGATCAAACCTGGGCCCTCTGCAGTGGGAACTCGGAGTCCCAACCACCGGACCGCCAGGGAATTCCCTAAATTTATTTGTTTTCATGAAATTGAATTGTTCCTTGGAATAACATGATACAATCTGAAGTATTTTAAAAATGATAACAGGGACCATTAAAGCCTATATTTTCACTTTACCCTGACAATTATAAAAAAACTGCAAAGATACTGACGGTACAACTGAAATATAATCCCTGGCTGAACTGAACTTTAATTTTTATTTATTTATTTTTTTATTATTATTTTTTTTTCGGTACGCGGGCCTCTCACTGTTGTGGCCTCTCCCGCTGCGGAGCACAGGCTCCGGACGCGCAGACTCAGCAGCCATGGCTCACGGGCCCAGCCGCTCCGCGGCATGTGGGATCTTCCCAGACCGGGGCACGAACCCGTGTCCCCTGCATCGGCAGGCGGACTCTCAACCACTGCACCACCAGGGAAGCCCTGAACTTGAAGTTTTGATAAAGGTAGATCTTCTGGAGGACCTGCCAGGCCAAATTTGACACCTTTAAAAATATCCGGACAGTCCTCGCGGAGAGTCGCCGCGGTTTCTTGCTTCAACAGTGCTTTGACGGAACCCGGCGCTCGTCCCCCGCTCCGGCCGGCCGCTCAGAGCCAGCCCTCACCACCACCTCAGAGCTCCCTCCGACGCCCCAAGGTCCCCGCCGCCGTTACAGCCGCGCAGCCACCGCCACCGTTTCACCTCAGCTGCCTGCCATGACGACGGCGTCCCCCTCGCAGGTGCGCCAGAACTACCACCAGGGCTTGGAGGCTGCCATCAGCCGCCAGATCAACCTGGAGTTCTACGCCTCCTACGTCTACCTGTCCATGTCGTACTATTTTGACTGCGATGATGTGGCTTTGAAGAACTTTGCCAAATACTTTCTTCACCAATCTTGTGAGGAGAGGGAACATGCTGAGAAACTGATGAAGCTGCAGAACCAACGGGGTGGCCGAATCTTCCTTCAGGATATCAAGAAACCAGACCGTGATGACTGGGAGAACGGGCTGAATGCAATGGAATGTGCGCTACACTTGGAAAAGTGTGAATCAGTCACTACTGGAACTGCACCAACTGGCCATGGAGAAAAATGACCCCCATTGGTGTGACTTCACTGAGACTCATTATCTGAATGAGCAGGGGAAATCCATTAAAGAATTGGGTGACCACGTAACCAACTTGCACACGATGGGGGCACCCGAATCTGGCATGGCACAGTATCTCTTTGACAAGCGCACCCTGGGAAATAGTGATAATGAGAGGTAAGCCTTAGGCTGGCTTCCCGTAGACACAGGGGTGACTTCCCTGGTCACCAAGGCAGTGCATGCATGTTTGGGTTACCTTTACCTTTTCTGTAAGTTGTACCAAAACATCTACAAGTCCTTTCCTTAGTACCATTCCTTCAAATAAAGTAATTTGGTACCCCCCCCAAAAAAAATATATATATATATCATCCGGACTTCCCTGGTGGTCCAGTGGTTAGGACTCCATACTTTCTCTGCAGGGGGCACAGGTTCAATCCCTGGTCAGGGAAGTTCCACATGCCACATGTTGAAGCCGGAAAAAAAAAAAAAACTCACTAAAAAAAAATCATCCAACCTTTCAAAATTCTAAATGACTTCTTAAAAAGCTCTGCATTAGCCCTGTTTCTTACCATCAGATTCTCTTCACATCTTCTTCATATCAATTTAGTAAGAGAATATAAACATCTACCTTGGACAGCACTCAGAGTTCCTGGTACAAACAGACGGAAAAGAGGAGTAACAGTAAAATAAACTTTTAAAAAATGGTTCTGAAGAACCCAGGGGCAGGACAGGAATAAAGACGCAGACGTAGAGAATGGACTTGAGGACACGGGGAGGGGGAAGGCTAAGTTGGGACGAAGTGAGAGAGTGGCATGGACATATATACACTACCAAATGTAAAATAGATAGCTAGTGGGAAGCAGCTGCATAGCACAGGGAGATCAGCTCGGTGCTTTGTGACCACCTGGAGGGGTGGGATAGGGAGGGTGGGAGGGAATCGCAAGAGGGAGGAGATATGGGGATATATGTATACGTATAGCTGATTCACTTTGCTATAAAGCAGAAACTAACACACCATTGTAGAGCAATTATACTCCAATAAAGATGTAAAAAAAATTGTTTAATAAACTTTTTATTAAATCTAATTTTGGAAATGATATTGACTTCATGTATGGATTAAGTTAGAAAAGTCTGAACATTAAAGTAACACTTAAAACACGTTTTTAAGATAATTCACCTCTTCTCTTAATCACAGGGAAAGGCACTACTTCAACAAACATTTCTACTCTCACAGCCTTACCTCTTGTATTTAGTCACAGTAAATCAACAATACATTAAATATAGCTATTGATCTGCTCTTGGTAGAACAACTCAACTTTTCAGATGCTTGTTATGACTCTCCATGGTCTTTGCTGGAGAGTGGTAAGATTCTATACAGCTGTGGTTACAAAAACTAACATCTACAGGACCTATCTAAAACTAGTTTATTTTCTATTTTTTTTTTTTTTTTTTTTTTTTTATCCTCTCCCGTTGCGGAGCACGGGCTCCGGACGCGCAGGCCCAGCGGCCATGGCTCACGGGCCCAGCCGCTCCGCGGCATGTGGGATCTTCCCGGACCGGGGCACGAACCCGCGTCCCCTGCATCGGCAGGCGGACCCTCAACCACTGCGCCACCAGGGAAGCCCTATTTTCTATTATTTTTCGATATTAAAATCCTTCCATCTTCAGTGTCTGTCTTTGTGCTATTTTACTAGCACGAGGTCTGGCATATAATAGATACCCTATCAATAACTGTTGAATGAAAGAAAAGTATAATTTAACTCAGAAAATGGCTGATAAAGAAAGAACTGTGCTACTGGTCCAGCGCTGTTGAGGGAGAATGAACCAAGGCTGGAGAAGGGGGTCTGGTCTGAGCAGGCAGGATCTTGCAAACTTTTTTGAGGAGTATGACTGATACCTGTAGTGGAAACCTACAAAGGTGTCAAGCAAGCAAGTGATGTGGTCAGAAGTGAGGTTTAGATGGTCACTCTGGGTCTTGTGTGCAGAATGGAACGGATGGATGGCTGAGGCAGAGGGATACTAGTTAAGAGGCCACTGAGATTCAGATACGAGGAGAAGGTGGTTTAGACCAGGAGTGGAGGGGAGGTGGAGAGAAGAGATTCAGTAGACCTTTGTAAGGCTGAGCTGAAGGAACTGGGTGATTGCTTGGAGGAGGTGAGGAAGGAAGAGTCAAGAATGAGATCCAGGGCTTCCCTGGTGGCACAGTGGTTAAGAGTCCGATTGCTGGTGCAGGGGACACTGGTTCGAGCCCTGGTCCAGGAGGATCCCACGTGCCGCAGAGCGGCTGGGCCCGTGTGTCACAACTACTGAAGCCCGTGCGCCGTGCTCCACAATAGAAGTCACTACAATGAGAAGCCCGCGCACTGCAGCCAAAAATAAAATAAATTAAAAAAAAAAAAAAAAAAAAAGAATGAGATCCAGGCAGTGCGCTCCGTTGTCCCGCAGATCTGTCTCTTGCTTTGACAGTGTTTGGACGGAACAGACCCAGGGACGCCCCTTGCTCCAGCCTCCCACCAGCCTCCAACCTTTATTTTCCAGTCGCAGCCTTTGGAATCAGCCGCTCAGCTATCATTGGCCTCCGGGACGAGCCAACACCATTTTCTGAGCTTAGCTCCTTATTACCGATCAACCACGAGCTCCCAGATTCATCAGAATTGTTCTACCGACGTGCTGTAGAGCACAGGGAACTCCACTTCACGGTACAGTAGAAACTAACACAACATTGTAAAACAACTATACCCTAAAAAAAAAAAAAAAAAAAAAAAAAAAAAAAA